AGGAGCCAAATCCATTTGATCTCTCAGATTTAAATGGTGACACATGGAAGAAGACTTATAAAAAGAAAAACACTGCCCTGTTCTAGTTTACTGCTCTACAACTTTTTTTTCATTGTTAGAAATTTAAACAAAAAGTGTAAAAAGTCACTGAGTAATTCTTTCCTTTCTGAAATATTTTCAGGGAGAATATTTAGATAATATACTATTCACAAATGAGGGGAGAATACATATTAGCATAATAATATACTTGGAGTGTCACATTAATGCATGCAAGCTATGTGTTAGTAAATATGATTCAATGAACTCAAGACTCTATCTGGATTAAATGAAATCTCATTAGAAATCAATTGTTTTCTGTACTTTTTAAATGAATCATTAAAAGCAGTTCCCTACCTTCCTATCTTAAAAATAGTTGATATCTTCTAGACTTGGATAGAACCTCATAATATGTGTGCAATCTAACTTCTGTTTATTAAGTAGATTCTTCCTCCTACACCATCTGCTATTCGATTCCATTTGCCTATATATAACGCTAGCAACCATGTCAATTTCATCTTTAGTGGAAAGTGCTTTCAGGTTCTACTGATATCACAACCAAGATTTCTCATTTCTGTAATTTGATACAGGTAATCCTTGACTTATGACCACAATTGAGCCCAAAATTTATGTTGCTAAGTGAGGCATTTGTTAAGTGAGTTTTGCCCCATTTTATGACTTTTCTTGCTACAGTTGTTAAGTGAAACATTGCAGTTGTTAAGTTAGTAACCCAATTGTTAAGTGAACCTGGCTTCCTGACTTTGCTTGTCAGAAGGTCACAAGAGTTGATCACATAATCACCACAACCTGTCATAAATATAAATCAGTTGACAAGCATCTGAATGTTGATCACATGACCATAGGCATGCTGCAAGGGTTATAAGTGTGAAAAATGGTCATAAGTGAGTTTTTCAGTACTGTTCTCACTTTGAATGGTCATTAAATGAATTGTAAGTAGAGCACTACTTGTACATTGCTCTTCAGTTTACAATATCTTCAAAGTGAATTGATATCTGAGCTAAACAATTACCAATTAAACAAATCATAAAATAATAATAAGCAGCATTATCAACAGAGGGCAAAAATTCAACTAACACATAAAAGATATGACCAAACAAAGGGTTTTAGTTGATGCCAAAATGTTGCCAAAGGCAGCAATCCAAAATACAGTTGCTTGGAAGTAAACCCAGTTATCTCAGTGGAACTTGTTTCTAAGTAGATACATTCAGTGATACTGACAGCCTATGGAGGAACCACCACTTAAGCCATCTCTTGGCTATTCAGTTACAGCTATTTAGTTACAGTGCTTGACTCTTATAAGGGGTCAGGCTAGAGAAGGCCTTAACATATTGACTAGTGTAAACGGCAGGAGATTGTTCTTAACGATCATAATTAGTTTTATATATTTGAAAATAACTACTTTTCAATATTAAACATACATCTATATCTACTGTATATCTATATCCCCTAGATTATTTTGTATTCCACTATCGCAGCCATCTGGTTCTTGAATAAATAAAACATATTTAAAGGCTTTGGAGCCATGGAAGAGGAAAAGGGTTACAGAGAAGAAAGTTAAAAGATGGAAAGAGAGAGGCAGACAGAGAGACAGAGATGGAAAGTATTTTGGAGGAGAAAGCTAGGTCAACTTGATAGCTACAGTTGTTGCACACCAATCAAAAGCAGAATACTTTGATATTTTCCAATCATAAGCAAAATATTTTAGCTCTTGGGAAGTGAAAGTGAGAGAGGGCTATTGACTGCAGAGTCCAAGCTTGTGAGCTTCACAAAATAATTAAGTTGGCCACTCTATGCCGAGTGCTGAATATGGCCCAATCCAGCAAAATTCTTGTTGCATACCATCACCACTGCCCATGCCTCCTCAAAAGAGACCAATAGAGTATTCTTCCCAGTGCAAAAAGAAATTTCACTAAAGTAATTTTTGCCATGAATTTTGCCAACAATGGAGCAAAAGATTGACACTTATTTCAACTCCACTTGATAAATCATAATCACTTCCACCAAACTGCTGTTTGAGCTACTTAAACATGCATGTTAAAACATGCATCTTTAAAAAAATATATTCAGAATATCTTTCCTCCTCCAGTGCTTGATACTTCTTTCTTTCTCTTTTTTTGTAGTTCATTAAATCTCTTTTATGGCATAATGCAATACACTATGTCCTATAATATCCAGCTAATGGTTACAGAGACCATCTTTAAAATCCAGCCTGCTCATAATATAGGGTGTAAACTAACGAAGAAATACACATTTTGTAACCCAAAATTCAATAGAGATCAGATAATTCATATAAGAGAGGAAAGTATATTTTATAAGCACAAATTATTTTTTCCCATATTTCTAGTACTTTATGGGAAAAATAATAGATCTTAGTCTAAAAATATATCCCAGATGGAATACTACTGCTCAAGAATTATTATAGGATAGTTGAAATGAGATGGCAAATCCACATTTTCAAAGAAAAACTAGAAACTTTAGTTTCCTCAAAAACTAAAGTTCTGAGGAAAGCATATTAGAAGATACTTCATTGGTTTGTTTATATTTAACACATCAAACCAAAAATGAAATTTAGTATGCAGTCCTATACTACTTACCTCACCAAACTGAATTTCTATGCAGATGTTCCTGTGAGGCTAGACTGGGAAGTAAAACACACAATTCAAAGGAGTCAAAGACAGACTACTTCTGTGCTTTTGCCAAGAAAGCTTCCTGTTTTTGTTCCTGAAGACAGCAAGAGTCAAGTTTAATTTGAAAAAGACTTTATCATTATCTTTTTTGCCCTGAAATGCAACGGGCTGGAGTCTTAATAATAAGCCCTTGAGCTTACTGAGACTTACCTCTAAGTAAACAGGCTTAGAATTCCCCTTTAAGTAGCATGTATGCATTCAGCCCTGAGTCCCAAGGGATAAATGCAAAAACAAACAAACAGCCGCCAGCTTCTGCCTTTCCTCCTCACGTGGAGTGCAGAGTAAAGAAAACCGCACACCAATTATGTTGCGTGGTAAGAGAAATGTGCATGTTCAGCTGAAGGAAGAGGAAACCAGCTTGCACTATTTTGGATCATATGTGATCATGCTTATCCAACTACTCAACCTGGGCTGAATGCCTACCTACCTTTCAGCACCGTTAGGTTTAGTCAAGGCTGAACATTACCCTCTCCCACCCCAGTAATAATAAGATAATGGTGAAAAATTAAGTGCTTTTTGCCTGACTCAGTCTTGATTCTTGGTAACTTTGTGATCCATAGAGCTTTCCTGTCTTCTTCCTAGGTTGAGAAAGAATCTAAGTCACTCAGTTGGATTGAAGCCTCAAATAGGATCAGATTTCTCTACTTCATCATCTGAAGCAGATCAAACTGGATCCATTAATATATTACAGATCCCTATTGCTAGGTCCTTACTAAGATCTATGCCTACATTCATATATGGTCCAGGAGCTACCTGAAATCTTAGTGACTGGTATTTTTACCAGCTTCCACATACATTGCAAAAAAGGCAGAAATGTTTCCACTGTCAATCGGCTTCCTAGCAGAGACCCTGATGCCAAAATAGACAAAGGAATATTATTTGTCCCTGATGAAAATGAAGACATTTATGGTTAGCCATAAGTAGTCACAGTGGTTTCCCCCCTCCAAAAAAAACATATTTTATTTCTCCTCTAGCCCCTTTCAAAGTCTTGAAAGCTTTCCAAAGCATTCCTCAGTTTCTCTTTTAGTCTCTTTGTATTGCTCAGGTCTAATACTGTTAAACACCCAAACAATACCCAGAGGCTATTGTTAGGGCCTCTGTTAGACCAAGCAGAGAAAAACCTATCCTTTGAGAAAAGGGGAAACCCCGACTGACTATGCCAATTCGCTTGGGAAAGAAAAATCCCCCCCCCTCTTTTTGGAGGGGAAGAAAACGTAATAAGATAAAAGGCAAGGATAATACATGTAACACTTTTATGAGTGTTCTGAAAAATCGAGCAGTCGACCTGTTAGATCTTTTTTTTGCTTTCTTCCCCTCTCCTTCAACCCCCCCTTCCCTCTTTTCATGTGTGTCTCAGCAGGCCTATCCCTCCGGTAACGCCCTTTCTCCTTCTTACCTTTCCCTGCACCTGTCCACGTAATACGCGGCAAGCTTCCAGGGTCCTCCCCCCCCCCACCTTTGCCAAACGGGGCTCCTGCTGCTGCTGCTCGCGATTCATCCGCGGCGAGAAGCTTCAACATCAAAAGGGAGCCTGGCGGAGGGGAGCGAGCGACGGCATCCTTTCTCGCATCGTCGACAACAACCCGGGTGGGGGGAGAAAGAGGGAGGGAGAGGCGTGTTTCCAAGGCTAAATTGGAAGCCGATTAGGCGCGAGAGAGAGAGGAGGAGGAGGGAGGGAGGGAGGGAGGGAGGCCGGGGCACCTTCGGAAGTCCCCTTCGTCAGGAGGGAAAAGGTGTGAGGAGGGGAAAAGCATCTCGGTTTAAGATTTCAAACGCCTGAGCTTCCCGGCGCGCTTCAGCTTCAGTGCTATTAGCATAGGTCAGGGGGGAAAACCTGCCCCGCGCGTATATATAGCGAGAGATTCCCCCACGCGCGCTGTTGTGGCACTTTCGAGCGGCCTCGCTTGGATCGCGGCGGTTTCCCCAAAGACCTGCCCGAGCCGGTGACGCTACGCGCGGGCAGCAGCGGCAGCAGCGGCAAATTGGGCATCGCCGGCTGTCCCACCTGCAGCGGCTGTCGATGTTGAGGCCAAGCCCAGCCCAGCCTCCCCGCCAGCCCCATGTCCGGGGAGAGGACAGATTCTCGGGACAGGCAGTTGCTCTCTTGACGCCAAGTCCGCCTTGCCTGCCTGACCCCTTCCAGCGCCGGCTCTGAGCCCCGAGATTGGACTCTGCAAGAGACTCCCTCTCGCTCTCGCTGCTCCTTTCCTGCCCTCGCCCTCTCCAGTCTCGGCAGCCCTCCGGTTGGGCTTCTCCATGGCCCCCTTAGCCGAAGTGGGGGGTTTCTTAAGTGGCCTAGAGGGGATGAGCCAGCAGGTGGGCTCCCATTTCCTTTTGCCTCCTGCTGGGGAGAGGCCGCCTCTGTTGGGGGACCGCCTGACCCAAGCGGAAGGGGGATCCCGAGGGGGCGTCGCGGCTGCGGCCACGGATTTAGCGCACCTGCAGGGCATCCTACGCCGAAGACAGCTGTATTGCAGGACTGGCTTCCACCTGCAGATCCTGCCCGACGGCAGCGTACAAGGCACTAGGCAGGACCACAGCCTCTTCGGTAAGCCCCCTCCCTTTCTTTCCTTCCTTCCTTCCTTCCTTCCTTCCTTCCTTCCTTCCTTCCTTCCTTCCTTCCTTCCTTCCTTCC